CTTTGTACTCAATTTGGGACTGTTGTCAAAATCTTACGTTCTGATAATGAGGGTGAATACATTGATTCGGGGTTAGAGAGATATTTTTCCACTCATGGCATTATCCATCAAACTTCTTGCACCAATACCCAGCAACAAAATGGGGTCGAAGAGCGCAAGAATCGTCATCTTTTTGACATGGCTCAGTGTATGTGTTTTTCTATGGGTGTGCCTTGGTCCCATTAGGGTGAGGCCGTTCTCACCGCTGCCTATCTCATTAATTGTCTTTCTACTCTAGTATTGCATAAAAAGGCTCCTCTCCAGGTTCTCTTAGGGTCCGCGTCTCTGTTTTCCATTTCTCCAAAAATCTTTGGGTGTGTTTGTTTTGTTCACAATCATTCCCCTACTCGTGATAAGTTGGACCCTCGTTCTCTCAACTGTGTTTTCCTCGGCTACTCCCCTACTCAAAAGGGATATAAGTGTTATGATCCTCCTTCTCGTAAGTAGTTTGTGTCCATGGATGTCACATTCTTTGAGTCCCAGTCTTACTTCTTGTTTTCTTTGGTGCCCCAGTCATCTCTTTAGGGGAAGCCTTGATGTGAAGAGATTCCTGTTGTCCCTGTTACTCCTATGGTAGAATCATTTGTTCCTCCACCACATATTGCTGAGACTATAGACTTTAATGCCACCAAGGACAGGGAAGGGCAAGTTTATGTCAGGAACAAAGACAGACAGAAACTTACTTGGATACAAGAGACCATTTCTGCTCACCCATTGCCATCTCCTACTTCTGATAAGAGTCCAGGTAACTTTGACCCTGTTGTTTCTCTTGAGTCCACTGATATTGCTATTCCTGACACTACTGATCTTGATATTCCTATTACCAAGAGAAAGGGTGTGAGATCTTGCACTCAACATCCTATCTCTAATTTTATGTCATACTCTCATTTGGCATCCTCATATAGAGCTTTTGTGTCCAACATTTCTTCTGTGAGTATACCTAATCATTTTTAGGATGCTCTCACTACCTCTAAGTGGAAACTTGCTATGATTGAGGAAATGAAAGCACTTTGTAAGAATGGCACTTGGAAATTGACTGAGTTACCTAGGGGCAAATGAACCGTGGGATGCAAATGGGTGTATACAGTAAAGCACAAGGCAGATGGTTCAGTTGAGCGTTATAAGGCTCGACTTGTAACAAAGGATTTTACTCAGACATATGAGGTGGACTATCAAGAGAAATTTGTTCCAGTTGCGAAGATGAATTCTGTCAGGGTACTCCTTTCTCTTGCAGCTAATTTGGATTGGCCACTTCACTAGTTTGATGTGAAGAATGCTTTCCTCCATGGTGACCTAGAAGAAGAGGTGTATATGGACATTCCCCCTGGTTTTGAAGATCATCAGACAAAGGGGAAGGTATGTCGACTTCGAAAGTCACTATACAGTCTCAAACAGTCTCCAAGGGCTTGGTTTAAGAGATTTACTCAAGCAATGGTGAAGTATGGTTTCAAATAAAGTTAGGCTGATCATACTTTGTATGTTAAACATTCCTCCCATGGTAAGACGACGGCTCTCATTGTGTATATGGATGACATAGTGCTTACAGGGGATGATGTTGAGGAAATTCCTCTGCTAAAGAAGTATTTGGTAAGTGAGTTTGAGATCAAAGACTTGGGAAATTTGAAGTATATTTTGGGTATTGAAGTTGCCAGATCCAAGGATGGGGTTTTCATCTGTCAAAGAAAATATGTCCTTGACCTATTGAAAGAAACAGGGATGCTGGGAAGCAAAGCCTGTGACACTCCTCTAGAGCCTGACCAGAAACTGAGTGATGATATTGGAGGAGCAACTATTGATAGGGAGAGTTATCAGGGGCTAGTGGGTAAGCTCATTTACTTATCCCATTCTCGTCCTGATATCGCTATTGTAGTTAGTATAGTTAGCCAGTTCATGCATGCTCCTCATGCAATACACTTGGAGGCAGTTATGAGGATTCTGAGATACTTAAAATCTTCTCTTGGAAAGGGCCTTTATTTTTCCAAACACGATCATCTTAGTGTGGAAGCCTATACGGATGCAGATTGGGCATGATCAGTAACTGATAGGAGGTCCACTTCGGGGTATTGTACCTTTGTTGGAGGGAATCTGGTTATTTGGAGAAGTAAGAAACAGAATGTGGTTGCCCGGTCTAGTGCGAAGGCAGAGTTTAGAGCCATGGCACAAGGTGTGTGTGAGCTCTTGTGGATCAAGTTGTTGCTGAGTGATCTGGGGATAAATCAAACGAATTCCATGCGACTATATTGTGATAATAAAGCTGCCATCAATATAGCTCACAATCCAGTTCAACATGACAGGACAAAGCATGTTGAGATTAATCGTCACTTCATTAAGGAGAAACTCACTAGCGGCACAATATGTACTCCATTTGTGAAGTTTGGTGTACAACTCGCTGATATCCTTACAAAGGGGGTTGGGAATATCCCGTTTCATGATATTCTTCGCAAGCTGGGGATGAGAGATATCTTCACACCAGCTTGAGGGGGAGTGTTAGAATATTCATTTATATATTTGTAATTATTTGTTTCTTGATTTCATGCCTTAGGGCTCTCCTTGTAAGTTATGTTACTTAATTAATATAAAAGGGAATGTATTGATATTCATTCACCAAGGTTTGATTTTACCTACACAAACAGATGAAACCCTTGGAATATATCCTAGTTAATGGGGGACTCATGCCAATAACTCCTTGCTATGTCTTAGTCATTAGGGGACTCATGCCGATGACACCTTAATACTCAAGAATCCTTGGAATGTTCATCGCTATGTAAATGCTTGCAAGTTAAGCTTGTTATTATCATGATCAAAGTATGCTATGTTCAAGCTATGATTTATGCTTTGTTTTATAAAAGCTCATCAGTGTTAATACATTTACTACTTCACTATATTACTATTCATTAGGCAATGGCTCACCCCTCTCTCATATATATATATATATATATATATGTAGGTGATGAAAAGCTCAATTACGAAGAGAAGTTTAATTAGAAACTGGTCATGTATGCTTGTACTGGTTTTGTAAAGTTTTGTCATAAGTGTTGTACTTTACTTTGTTTTTAGATCATGTAATAATATATGATAACAATCCAAGAGGAATGTATCCTTTCATTTGATATAGTTATGCACTACTCTAAATAAATGTTTCAAATGGATTCAACATAAGCAAATAATGGCTTCCACATTCAAAAATGGAAAGTTTGCCCCAATTATCCTAAGAGTCCAACTTGTTTTGAAAGTTAGGCCTTAGGTAGTCTGTGAGTACTGGCCAACCACTGCACTGTCCTCTCGGGTCGTGACATCGACCCAGCTGGTATTTGATTTGTTTGGTTGTTGGGCTTAGTTTGGTTCTTGGATTGTGACTTTGGAGTTTGGCTCTTGGGTTGTTTGGTGCTGGTTTGACCGGACTTTGACGACTCCCTCTCATCTATGTTTGAGCAGTTTTCGTCATTCATGGTTGCCCATCAGGACATTTCTTCTTAGGCTTCTACTATGACCACCATTTCATTAGTTTTTTATAGTTCTTTTACCTCAGGTATTCTCTCTACTACCACATGGGTTTTTCACTCTACTTGTTCTCATCATATGACCCCTGTTTTTGTCTCTTTTCAGCAATTGTGTCTCTCCCTCTTCCCCTATTACTACTACTGCTAATGGATCCCTTATGTCTATTCTATCTCCTCTTCTCTTCGTCCATTCCTCATATCTTTTATGTTCCTCAATTGTCTCTAAGTCTCCTATCTATTAGTCAATTATGTGATTCGGATTTTGATGTTGTTTACTCTTCTTCTGATTGTGTCGTGCAGGATTAGGTGTTCAACCGGCAAATTGGGTTTGGGTATAGAGTTGGTGAACTTTATGTCTTGGAGCACTTGCATCTCCTTCTGATATCTCCTTCCATTGCTATGTCCTCTTTTTGTTTAAATGACTAGTCCTCTCATTTTTAGCTTTGGCAGTCTCGACTAGGACATTTATCTAGTAAAACTTTTAGTAAAACCTGGTCATTTAGGTATTGTCTCTGTTAGGGACATTTCTGAGTGCAGTGGGTGTAAGTTTGCAAAGATGTTTGCTCTTCCTTTTACTGTAAGTATTCTATTTCTTCAGCCCCTTTCAACTGGTACATAGTGGGGACCTTCCCCAATTGCTACAAAGGGTGTAACTACATAAATGACATTAGACATCAGTTGTCAAATAACATCTAGATTCAACAATTAAATTAGATAACATCATTCTGATCCTAGCCTACGCTTGGTGTGCAGTTAAAACTCAAATAGACCAAGTTAAACAACAATTTTAAGTGAAATCAGTGGACATAGAAAGGATACTATCAAATAGGCCTGAAAACAAGTCGGATTTGGATTGGATTTGACGTAATCTGATCCGATCTGATTAATCATTAATCCAAATTCACAAAATCTGATAATGAACAATCCGATCCGAATCTGCTTTATATGGATATCAGATCCGTAAATCCGATCTGTTTATTTTAAGTCAGTTTGTCATTTTGAGTCAGTTCGCTTACTTTGAGTCTGCTCCCTGCAATGGTAAAATGACTCTCCTTGATCCCTCTCATGGCTTGCTTTGTCTGTGCTTTGCTTACAAACACTTTAGGACAGAGTTCATGGTAGTTTCTACTGATTCCCAATAGCTTTACCATCATTATAAATTTATGAATATATAAGCATGATTGTGATAGGGAGAGCTACAAAATTGAAATGGGTTTCACTGTTTCCTTCTGGGTGTGTATATAAATATATGAATCTATAAGCATGTAGAAGAGTGTGATAGAATATTATAATCAGATCGGATCGGATTTATCTGGATCTGTGTTTCGTTTGAAATCGAATTAGACGGATTCAGATTTAATTGGGTAATCAGATTGGATTTCAACTAAACCGATCGGATATTTCAGATCAGATTCAGGTGAAACCCAATCCGTTGTTAACAGGCCTGCACATTGTGCGTACTTGTTGTAGGCTGCACGTCCAACCATAACACCATGAGCTCCTTCCATTCGGGCCGCATTCACCTATTAGTTAAAATGTCACCAAAAAATAAGTTAAAAGTGGAAATGCAACAAACTCTTTTATGCATCATGAAGTATATTTAATATCAGCATAATGCAAAATATGAAACTCACTCAGCCCAGGAGGGTAGTCCAAATCATGTCCAAAGTTGGAAGAAGGCATAAATGACTACTCAACATATACAACAGCATAGAATAAAAGACCTAATCTAGATTCAAACGAAAAAATGAAGAGAATTTTAATCATGTAATCCAACATTTGTACATACAAAATAATAGAATTAATGACATGCAATAGCCAGTATCTTTGAGGGTAAAAATAGATATGTGATAAAATAAATGAAATTATAAAATCAATGGGGAACAGGTTGGCAGAAGAAAAGTTTAAAGGAAATGATGGGAAATATTAAAAGAAATGTGGGAGAAATGATGAGTGTAATGTGATGATGAGAAAAGAAAATAAAAATCACGAAGAGACATGCCACGTGAATTGAAGAATAAAAAAAAATAAAAAAAAGAAAAAGGTTGAAAGATTAAAAAATCAGAGGTGCATGTGTGAGTGTGTGGGTCTCTTGTTTATATTAAAAATAAAACCAGAGGTGCATGTGTGAGTGTGTAGGTCTCTTGAGTGGAATGTTAGAGAGAGAAGAGTGAGTGCCCCCATGTGGTTCAGCCGAGAGAGAGAGGAGGTGCTGCATGTGTATTTCTTTACATTTTCAACACGCAAAAGTTCCTGAAAATGCTTTTCTGGATCCCCACTCTCATCAAATTCTTTGCATCTTGTCGGGTGCACACCAACGGTACAGAAAAGCCTTGCATCTGTTTCTGCAATAGCAAGAGCTTCCTTTGATTCCTCAAGTGACCCGTCAGTGACGATGATTCGGTCAACACCAGCACTCCAAGCCCTAGTCAAAACTGCTGCAATATCAGGTATGTGGCATTGCTTGCCATTGTAGATACCTCTGAACATGTTATCTGTGAAGTTCACAGCTATGTCTATCATTCGAATTGTGATAATGGGCCATGGAGAGAGAGAGATTTGGGCAGAGAGTGTGTATCTGAGAGAGTAAGTCTTCAAATGTGTTGAGTATGAGGCCGTCAGCTCGAGGAACTTGATGTCTCCGGTCATGTAGAGTCGGATGTTTGGGTCATCGAGGTCGCCTCTTCGGCAGAAGCTCGGAAGATCTCGACGCCGGAGAACACCTTCCATGCCCGGCATGCGTGATGTCAGCGCATCCAACTCATTTTCTTGGAAAGGAAATTCTCCAGATTGAAGGAGGATGGGAAGGCAGAAGAAAAGCCAGAGAGAACAAGGGCGGATAGTACGGCAGCAAACGATGATGGACTTGAGCTCCTCGACTTGGGTTACGGTGCAGAGTTGCCATGGATCTGCGGAGTTTTTGACACGGTCAGCTTCGGTCTCCACAGCAGCCTTGTCGAAAAATCTAAACTTTTCAGTGTGCTTGAGCTTGCGGCTTCCTTTGATGTTACATTCCTCATCTGCAGTCTCATAAAGAAGAGACTTATCGTCAGGAACTTTTACAGTAGATGTTATTATGGACGCAACCACCACTTGGATAATCTGTGTCAAGGGATGTTGATGAATCGGAGGAGACGACTGCGGATGTGGTCGGTGACCAGGAAGGTGACGTGGAGTCCGGATAGGCATAGAAGTTTTGCTAGCTTCAGCATGGAGTTTACAGGCCCCTGTAAGGGTAGGGGGAATATGAGTACATGAGGAGGAGAATGGAGTGCCTGTTGGTGGTGTTGTTGAAGAATCTGCCATTGAAGAAGAAATTTTGGGTTTGTCCGGCGAGGTGATGAAGAAGAGTGAAGGTATGTGTAGAAAATTCTAGTGGACTAGGTTGAGGTCCGGCGGGCGGCTAAGATGATGTTGCCGCCCGCCGGGGAAGCGAAAATAGTAGGTTCTAAACCTGCTCTGATACCATGTAGAAATTTAATGTATAAAGAGAAATGATTGTATTATTGATTGTTGTTTATTTTGATTTTTTATTACAATGATTCATGATTCCTATATATAGAAGAGGGTGAGTGTGTAGTAGGTAAGGAGTAGGTGAAGTGGAGGTGGTAGTGGTGTAGTGGG